CCGTGTACATAGAGGACTTACCTCGGCCTAGCATTCTCGGGGGGCAGAGGAGGTCACTCCCGTCCTTGAAGCAAAGCCGAGCTAGATCGACCCACTCGTGAGCTTCTTGCTAGATGAACCCTCCCTATAGATCGCAATGCAGCCAGAAGGGTGCAGCACCAAGCAGCCAAATATGTCATAATAGACGAACGGCTGTACCGACGATCCTACATGCTCCCCTACTTGCGTTGCTTGCGACCTGCCGAAGCCGAGCTCGTACTCCGCGACACTCATGAAGGTCTATGCGGCGGACACTTGGGGGGCAGGGCCCTCGCCCAAAAGGCACTTCGACAAGGGTACTACTGGCCAACGATGAAGGTAGAGGCCATCGAGCTCGTCAGAAAATGTGACAAGTGTCAGAAGCATGGCAATATCCACCATCAGCCTGCCACCGACCTCAAGTATCTCACTAGTCCATGGCCCTTTGCGCAATGGGGCATCGACCTCTTGGGGCCATTCCCGCCAGCAACAGGTGGGAGGAAGTTCATAGTGGTAGCGGTAGATTACTTCACAAAGTGGGTAGAAGATGAACCTCTCGCAACAGTCACAGCTCGAAACGTACATAATTTCTTTTGGAAGAACATAGTATGTCGCTTCGGGTTACCTCGGGTACTGATCTCTGACAATGGCAAGCAATTCGAGGACTTCAAATTTCAGGAATGGTGCCAAGATATGGAGATTCGGCAGAACTTCACATCGGTCGTGCACCTGCAGGCAAACGGTTAAGCAGAAGTTATGAACAGATCTATCCTCCGCGGGCTGAAAGCGCGACTAGACCGAGCTAAAGGGTTGTGGGCGGACGAGCTACCAAGTGTTCTATGGGCTCACCGAACTACGGAAAAAACCGCCACGGGAGAGACCCCCTTTAACCTCACCTACGGCACCAAAGCAGTAATACCGACGGAGATCGAAGTACCCACACTACGACTAGAAGCATACGACGATCAGACAAACGGAGACGAGCTACGTACCAACCTCGATCTACTCGATGAGGTAAGAGACCTCGCGTACATCTGGACCGCAGCTTACCAGCAAAGAGTAGCTCGATACTACAATGCTAGAGTAAAAAAGCGGAACTTCCGCATCGGCGACCTGGTCCTCCGTAAGATCATGGCACCCGAGCCCGGCGTTGGAAAACTCGGACCGAACTAGGAAGGACCCTACCGAGTAAAGAAAACACTCGGGGGAGCATACGAGCTCGAAACCCTAGAGGGCAAACAAGTATCCCGGGCGTAGAATGTCGTCAACTTAAGACGATACTACCTATAAATCACCAAGCAAAGTGGACCAGAAGTCGCTACCAGAGCCTAAGGGCTAGAATGTCGAGCTAACAAGGACCTCGGCACCATAAGATTTAGTCACCTCTTCGGCATGGGCAAGCAAAGGCAAAATGCTAACACCAAGCTGACAGGCAAAGTGCTAACAGCGAGCTGATAAGGACATCGGCATCTCATCATCTAAGGCATATAGTCAGTTCGGAAAAAAGAGAGGGTGACAGAACAACACTTAACCAAAAGGAGGACATTTCATTGCAGAATACTCTGTGTACATTCCAAAAAAAAATCACAGAAGCGAGCTCACAAGCCCAGAGGTACATCTTCCTCGCCCTCGGAAGGCACTTCAATGATACCCGAAGGTCCTGCCTCATCCTCAGAATCTGGTTCACCATCATCCGCGTTGGCCATCTCCTGAGTAATGCGCGAAGTAGTTATGGCGCTGATGTTGAGCTCGGGGTACGTGTTCCTGATCATCCACCGGCTCAGTTTAAAACCCCTTCTGTACGAGCCCACCATCAGGTCGTCAAAGCGCGGCGAGGCGATATAGTCATCGACGACCTTCTTCTTGGCATCCTCGATGCCCTGAGAAAAGATCTTAGTCCTCTCCCTAATATCCTCCTGAAGGTATTCGACCTGATGCTGCAAGTCCAGCCTTAGGTCCGCCATGTGCTTCACCACCACTCCTAGGGCCTCGGTGTCTCTTTGAGACCTCGCCAGCCTAGTCTGTGCAGCGCGAGAAGCCGCTTCGGCAGCGCGGGAAGCCTCTTCGGCAGCTCGTGTCCGCCTCGAGCTCCTTTTCGCTTGGGCCGCTAAAGCATGGATGGAGGAGTTCACCTGCCGAAAAGAAAAATAACGACAATGTTAAAAGAGTAATAGCGAGAAAGGTAATGACAAGGAGTCCGACCAAAAGTCGTAGACTTACCACCATGGCATAAGAGGCAGCACGCCCGGCTACGTGGTTCAAAGGAAGCTCGGCCCACGCCAAGACCTCCTCAGGGTAAACGGTCTCCTTACTTTTTCGAAGAGCGTGGTTCGACGACAGCACGCTCCTGAACTCGCCTTGGACTCCCGAGCCTGAAGGCCCAGCCCGCATATAAGCAGCCTCAGCGTAAGGAGCCCCCGTATAAGCAGCCTCGGTGTAAGGGGCCCCTGCCGCTTCTTGTACTGGAGGGGCCATCTCGGGGTAGTTCGGCACGAGTCCGTTTGGCAACTCGCTTCCTCCTCTTCTTGGCATGAAACAGGTTCCCACCGCGAGTCTTTTCTGCGTCCATCACACTTGCAAAAAGAGCTCGGCATCAAGAAAACGAAAGAATGGAAAGCAAAAACAAAGGCAAGCCTCTGAGCAAGGAAACTACCCGAACTCAGGCCGGCCTGGATGAGCTTGGCCTCTGTCAGATAATGGTGGCATTTTAGCCCGAGCCGGGCCCAGTCCCGGAGGCCCTTCGCCGTTTCCCTATCTAGCGTAACACCGGGGTCAGGGGCAGCCAACCCCCACCCGGTTTGGAACGGTCACCCCGTTGCACTTCGTACCACGAAGTAGTCCCGTTTCCACACCGGGACCTTGTTGGGAAGATCGTGTAAAAGCTTGAACCCCGGGCRAGGAGACAGGTAGTACGCCCGCCTACGCCCGGGAAGGGGACCCGCTTGCTTCTTAAGCTTGAGAATAGAAGAGAAGATCTCTAGGTCTAAAGGCAGAATGTGTTCGCAAAAGAGGGAGATAGTCCCAACTAGGTTGCGGATAGAGTTCGGGTGGAGCTGACCGACGGTGATGCCGAAGTGGTTCATAACCTCGACGATAAGAGGATGGAAAGGTAGGCGCAGCCTGGCGACAAGCTGCTCCCGGAATATCACGATCTCGTCCTGACCGTGTTCCCAAGGGAAGTCGCCCGAGGGTATAAAGTAAGTATACTCCCCGGGCAAGTTGAACTGGGTGATAAGGGAGTCAAGCCCCTCAGGCGTCATGGTTGAGGACCCGAACTTGTCTAACGTCCAACCTCGACGGGAGGAGGATGCCAAACTACCCGAGGCGACTCGACCTACGGGTTCGAACTCTTCCTTGAGCTCTCCCTCGAGCTCTACCTCGGGCTCACTAAGGCTGTCGGGGTCCGCAGCTCGGTTCGTGGAACCTGCGTCTAACCCCCTCAAGAAGCTGTCTAAGCTGTCCGAGCTAGACATCGGGAGGAAAGGAAAACCAGAAAGAATGCACTGACTCACCCAGAAAAAGCTAACGAACTACGAAAGGTTGACGCGAGCTAAACTTGGACGCGAGCTCAAGAAGCGAATGCAGGAGAATGGCGAAGGAAAGCGACTGGGGGTCCCCCACTATTTATACCCACAGTGACCGAAAACCAACGGCTCTGATCGAGGCAAATCCAACGGCTCACGATCAAGCTGACCGCACGCCTCCTAAGACCGAGACGTGACTGGCCGCACATCTTTGGAAACTGAAGCGATGCCGGCGCATGTCTCCCAGCATTGAAGGCAGCAGTGGCGCATTTTTTGAATTTGAAATAACGCCCGTCGTCACGTCTCCCAACATTTAAAGACGGATTGGCGCGTTTTCTGACTTTTTGGTGCTCGAGGAATCCGAAAATCTTCTGATGTACGCACAGTTCACGCCATCAGTCAACCGGTTTGAAGTACGGGTCAAATCCGCCCGTCACCTCGCAAACTCCCCGCGCTAGGGCAAGACCCTTAGCGCGAGAAATGGAGGGCAATTAATGGAGGAAGATTTGGCCCGACCTCTTGGCCACCCAACACGTGGAAACAACCGAGGGTGACCTGGCAGGAGAAACGGGAGCATTCGAAGATCAATCGGTGCAGATTTTGAGGCTCTACTGATAAGGTATCATTGTCCAGTATGAGGCGTAGAAACTGGGAATATACTCCAAGGTACAAATGGTCCTACAGTTATAAATAGTAAATATTTTCTTTAGCAAGGAAATGAATAGCCTTATTGTCCGATCGAGGTGTGTGGGTAAACACAACACACAGTCCGCAAACAAACTAAACCATGTGTGATGTGTCTCTGCACTCCTCGATAATCTGCCATGGGGTTTGATGCATCACCTTCAACCTCAACATGACTACAGCCACACTCTTTGGCCCAATTGATACCTTCAAAGAAGTATGGGCCTCGGCCCGGCGGCCTCCAAAGGAAGGAAAACAAGAGGATATTAGTATAGATTTGCCTCTTAAAGAAATGAACCCAGATGGTCTCTTTCTATAACCTCCCAAGAAATTAACCTTTTCTGTCCAAGGTTATTCATAATTTTCTTCTTTATATATATATATATATATATTATAGTTTTTAATTAAGTTTTTATTAACTTAATAAGAAGTGGCAAGACAATGAATTTGATATGAAAACAGATACAAAACCGTTCAAACCATGACTCTGTTTTTCTTTCTTTTTGTTTATTTTTTTTGGAAAGGATCAGAATGGTTTGGTTTTCAACAGATACAAAGCCGTTCAAAGAATCTTCAATATTCTTCAGCATTTCTTTACTTTTTCCTAGGAAACCAACTTACCATCATAACATTTAAACCATAAGATATTTAAATAATACAACTACCCTAATAGTAGTTGAAGTTATTAATCAAGGCGTGATTTTGTATTTTGTATGAATTTCCAAAATCCAGCAGTGCACCAAGTACACCAATGTAAGTAACCAGCAAAAGAGAAAAAAAAAAAAGAGTAGATACAGAAATTAACCATATAGCTTTGATATACATGAACCCTACAGAGATACAATTCAATTCAGATAACCATCTATGAGTATCCACCATGCAACAACTAGAGTGAGAAAGGAAAAAACAAAATGGAGAGAAGGGGGTGAAAATCATCCAGAATTAAGAAGAGGTGTAACAATCTTCTGAAAGAGCCAGAGCCACCCATCCCATATATATATATATATATAATATTCCATCTTATTGCGACCTCATCCTGTTGATCTGGTTCAAAGCTGGTTGAAGAATGTTGTAGAGGACCCAAAGAATAGCCGGAGCAACAACCACCAACAGAAGCGTACCTCGACTATCGCTCGTGGAAGCGTCGGCAATCATGGCAATTTCACTGGCTGACGCACTAGGTGTAGACATAAAGCTAGACGACGCAACCAATCCACCAAGCCCCAGCCCCACGATGATCCCCTTTGAGCTCCTCATTCGGTTAATTTGGTTGAGAGCCGGTTGAAGAATGTTGAAGAGCACCCAAGCAATCGCGGGGATTATGGGCAGTAGTAATGCAAGCCCACGGTTATCGCCTTCGGCGATCTCTGCAATTTGTTGGGCTGCCAAGGCTGGATCGCAAGAACTCAATGTAGAGAAGATGGCACCAGCGATAGCAGTCCCTGCCAAGTTTGAACCGTCCGAGGATTTGGAAGTGATAAGGCCTTTGGGGAGGTTTTGAAGGGAAAGGAGGGAGATGGGTTTTACAGATGGCTTATTGGAGGCGTTGAGATTATTGGGTGAAGCTGATTTGATGCTGAAGCATTTAGCATTGAGCATGGCCATTGTAGCTATAGTCGTTGCCATTGCGACCTTCTTCACGTACACTGTGACTTTCTTGAGGGTCTCAGCAAAGGGAGAGATCAGAACACTCGAAGAGGAGATAGACCGCTGGCTTCAAGCTTCAACCTTCAACCTTCAAAGGTAGAATATAGATTTGTGTCAGAGGAAGGCAGAATGGTAATCCAATTGAAATATGTCTTCAAGATCCTTCTCTTATCCGGAGATTGCAATCCATCCGTGTCATATGGACCTCATATTCTTACACTTGGGCTCCTTTTCTTATCACTTTCTCTCCTCTTCCACACAAGAGTACTCGATCGGGTGGGTAGCAATCAGCCAAATAGCAATCCTTCCCTTGGATTGGTTGAGATGTCATGTGGTGATAAGGGCACACGGAAATTGACAGTCGGAGCAGCAACTTTTCAAATTCACTCTTGCTTAATTCTCACTAATCAATTACAAATGAGCAAAGCAGGAAACTCCTTGAAGGTCCGTTTTCCTCAGAGCCCCGACTCCCTTCAAACTGGGGACTTGAGATCAAGCAACTTATGGATTTCAAATATAGTGGATGGGACATTCGACATACCACGGAATGGAACTGATTAATACTTGGACGACCAGATGATAATACTGTTTATACATGGTTGCAATTGCAATTCTCTTATAGTCCACCTGAGTACAAAAATCAAAATAGATGACATTTTAGTTTTTAGGGTAAAATACAAAAACCTCTCATGAAGTTTTTGACAATCATAAAAATCTCTCCTATAGTTTTATTTTACCAAAAATACTCCCTTAGATTTTTAAATAATTCGACAAAAACTTCCTTTTTGTCGATGACCATAACGAAAAATGTTAAATCGACTAATCATTTTTTCCAAACACCCATTTTACCCTTTTACAAATTTATTTGCATCTATTTTATCAAAACACCCCTGCTGGCATGTTATCTCCTTTTCCTCTTCAGTCGACCTTTTTCTTATTCAACTTCAAAACCCTAATTCAGATAAACTCTTGGTATTTGTGATTAGAATATAAAACGAGCTCCGTTTGTAGTCCTCCACTTTCAATAACCAATGTTCATGTCAACTTGACATCCAGATTTCTATTACCTTTGATCCCTTCGTAGAGGCAAATACTAAGGACTCGGGTGTTGGGGCAAAGGAGTATGTGCATGTGCGTAGAGGACCAGTAGTTCAACGAGAGGTTTTCTTCATTCGGCGGTTTTTCCTCTTTGTGTTTCTAAATGTTCTCACTTGGAAGACAGGGTTGTTGTCTGTTGCCTTCACCTATGAGTACTCAAAGAACCCGAAAGAAGAAACCCTTGTTTCTCTTTTTTTTTTTGTTTTAATTTTTCTTTTTTTTTTTCCTGATTTATTGTTCTCTTGAGTATTAACAACTCAAATTTTCTTTGCCTACTAATGGGTGGGCTTCATGAAAAGAAAATTCATATTTCTTCATCGTATATTTCATGATCGATGGGCATCATTCTGTTCAAGTATCTCTCTGTTTTAACTGATGATTTGGATATTATAATGAGCTCTTCTTTTATCTCTTTTTGGAGGAGGAATGCTGGTTCTAACATGATTTTCTGTCCTCTGTTGATTTGGTTGTTTCTAGAAATTTATTTTTGCTAATAGATCTTATCAAAAATAGTATTTTTCCCGACCTACAGCCGTAAGAAAAAACCGATCTCTTTTCATCATGAATTGTTTCATGGTAAGGGCGCCCTCATGGTAATCATGTTTGAAGATGCCTCATTGAATTTGAAGAGGGATTCCTCAAGAAGGTTTTAGTTTTGATGGGTATCAAGAAGCTAGCTAAGTTTTAGTTTTGATCTCTCTTTTCTTCTCCTCCCTTCTCACCGCCCCTACAGAACACCAAACTGCAAACCGCCATCGGAACCACCACTGTGTGGGGGTGGTTTGGTGCTGTATTCCAACAAAAACATGAAAATAATCCAGCTCTCTTTTTACCCAAGAACATGAAATTAATCCAGTTGTATTCCAACTGTGGTTGTGACGGTGGTGTTGTATTTGGCAATGGAGATTCAAGCTGTATAGGGACGGTGATGAGGAAGGAGAAGGATAGAGAGAGATGAAAAATGCGTTTGGTGTTGGGCAGGGACGGTCATGTTTTCTCCACCATCCCTGTTCTCAGTAACAACTCTCCTCTTGGCTTTTGCTTACATGGTTTTGATCAAGGTTCATGTAAAAAACACAAAAACAAAATGTAAGATATGAAACACAAGTACTTCGGACGGTGGAGTTCAGGGAACAATGATATTATTTCAGTAAAAATAGATGCAAATAAATTTGTAAAAGGGTAAAATAGGCATTTGGGAAAAATGATTAATCGATTTAATATTTTCTGTGATGGTCATCGACCGAAGGGAGGTTTCTGCCAAATTATTTAAAAATCTAGGAGAGGTCTTTGCTAAAGTGAAACTATAGGAGAGATTTTTATGATTGTTAGAAACTTCAGGGGAGGTTTTTGTGTTTTACCCTAGTTTTTATTAGCATATCAATCCCTAAACCATTTATTGACAGAGATAAATATAATGGAGCATATGCTCTATTAAGGCTGTACATGGATCGGTTTGGTTCAGTTATACATGTTTTTGTCAACTTAATTGACTATATCGGGTTGATTATTAAATCAACCGAAACCGATCGAAAGAAATAAAAAAAAAAAACGACTGGCAATAGAAACTATTGGTTGGTCGGTTTGTTCAGTTTCAACCGAACCAAGGCCTCTACCTCCTGTTAGTGATAGGATTTAAGCCCACAACCAACCCGACCAAACCAGCCTGCCTCAACCCAATGTGGTCGGTTTTTAACTTAATTCAGTTGATTTCGGTTTAGAAACCGATTACATCGGGTTGGTTTTGAACTTATTCATTTCTGGTCATTTCATTTCGTATACAATTATGCTTGATTCAAAATGTAAAATAAGATACATATTAATGTAATAAAAAAATAATAAAATAATACGTAATAGATGTAAAGTTCATATTTGACTTCACACTTGCACTCTCTTTCACGTTAACTCATAAAAAGATGTTTTTTTTTTGCAAAGATGGAACTGGACATGATAGCATGGGTTCAGGTCGGTTTACAAAATTATAATCCGCAACCAAACCGATCAGTCAAGTTATACATATTTTTAAACCGAAACAAACCAAATTAAGTAAAAAACCGACCACATCGAATCCAATTGGGCCGGTTTGATCGGTTTGGTTGTGGGCTTAAGTCGTAGATCTAATGAATCCCATCTTTCATAACACATCTTTTGTTAAAGCATTTACCACTCAATAGCTTCTTTTAGTAATACACTCAATAACTCATAATACTCCCAATTGTCACTCGGTATGTTGACATGGCTAGTTCCACATGCCTCTGTAATGAGTTCAATTTACCCACATTCAGTTACTCTCGAGCGAATGGACAGAAGTAATTTTTAGGGAAAGTTAACTGAAATACTGATATAAATCTTTCTGGCCTAAAAATCTTTATTGCACTTGATTTTTTGACCGGCACACCCCATGGAGATTAGGGGTATCAGCTAGACCTGTTAATGGGCCGGGTAGCCCGATGGCTCGGCCTGGCCCAGCCTGCATCTCAGTCAGGCTTGGTCATGTAATTAGGCCTGCGGGTCTGATCTCGGGCCTAATACAATAAGTCCGATTATGTTTCAGGTTGAGCTCGAGATTTGTCAAAAAAGTCTGGTCCGACTCAACATTATATATTTTATATGTATTTTATATATTATATAAAATATATAAATAATATAATATTTATTGAAATATATATTTATAATTTAATATATATACATTTTTTTATTTTTTTTTCTTTATAATTTCTCTCTCTCTCTCTCTATTCAGCCGCTTCAACAGTAATAACAGCATGGGCTAAATTTCGGGCTCGGGCCTAGGCCCAAGCTTTGGGCTTTTTATGAGGGTCGAGCTCAGGAACAAGTTGTAGGCCCGATGGTCGGGTCGGGCTCGGGCTCGGGCTCGGGCCTTAGAAAAATCTGTTAATACAGAGTGAAAGCATGACCCGAGCCTGACTCGACTTGGCTCATGAACAAGTCTAATTCCAGTCAAGCTGAGTCAAATAGTACTTAGCTCGAGCTTGATTTGAGTCAAAAACTCGTAAGTTCAAGCTCGACTTAAAAAAAAATATATTTTATAAAAATAAAATTAATTATATATAAAAATATTTTTATTTAATGTTTAAAAAATTAAGAACTATAATAATTAATTATTATTATTATTATTATGTAACTATTCAAACTTAACTCACGAGCCGAGTTATATTGCTCGATTATTAAAAAAGCCTGTAAATTGGGGTCGTGGCCACCCCTAATGGAGATACATCCGTACCTATCCTTTGATGCGTAATCTTCACTGGAACCCAGTCGGAGAAAGAATTGTGTGCTATTGTAAATCGGTATCAAGGTATTTCAAATATTTGCCGATTAGTTTTTTTTTTTTATTTTTTTTTTCTTCAGATTCATTCATTCAAGTATTTAACATATAAGTTGGACAAAAATATATGTTGAATGTTGGAATTTTTTGAGATGGATTGTGCATATGGTGGCGGAATTTGAAATTACTAGCATGAATTTTCCATGCGATCCTAAACACTTGAATTATGAAAATGGATCCAAGTTTATACGGTTATAGCTCTTAAGTTAATAGGGATATTTATAATTATACAATTTGGATTTGTACAAGTATACAAACCACCTTTATAATTTATTCCAAGCTATAACAGTTGATAATATAGGGATATTTATATGAATATACGTTATTTTACTCCAATCTGTTTGTTATTTACCCGTTATGTATTGCATAGTTTGTTATTATGCACCAACATCTATGATATTCGAATGTGTGCTTAAATATTTTGAATAGTATATATAATTTATATCAAATTAACATGTTGTTTGTTGGACAGTCATGAGTTTTCAGTGCTCCCACAAGCAATTAAAGTATTGCAAGTGATGAAGGAAATGTATTATCCGTGTGTTCAAAACACTGTGAAATCCCAATAAGATCTTTTACACCTCCCTTGGCAATCTTGCTTGATGTAAATAATATTGCCATGGAACAAGGGAACCCACCCATTCCTAGGCAATCAAACGGAACTGAGATTGAGATAGAAGCACACATCGATGGTCGTTGCAATTATTTTAGTTGGGCAAATCCAATTGGATCTGAATTACTTCACCCATGAACATTGGTGGGAATACTGACGACTGCATTCTTGAGCTGGAGAGAGGGTGTCCAAGTGTTGCAGATAGATGGAGTTCATGGTGGCATCTCAAAACCTACTATTGGAAGGGATGAAGACATTTAGGTTTATAGTCATTTCCTACTGACTGAGTGAATGGTTATGTTTATAAACGGTTGATGCATTGTATTTTATTCCTTGTTCTTGTCGTGTGAAACACATATATAGGTAAGAATCCATTAACCACCTCTCAATATGGTAGGATTGAGTGGTGGTTAGGGAGTTGGTGGTGGGTTAACAATTTCAGTTTAATGTACAAGCAAAATGTTATGGAAGGTCCTACAGTGGCAAGGTTGAAGTGGGTGGTGGATAACCCTTGAGCACCTATTTTGCTTTGTACTTGATAGGTTTTTTCCTATGACGGCTTCATCTTTATGGGTTCCTAGGTCATATAAAAGGTTAAGAGGGTTAATTTAAATCACTCGTGCCCTACACTATGACACACTAAGATTGCATTTGTAAAGGTCGGAACCAAAGCAAATGATGGGTAATATGAATTCATCTACACATAAGGGTAAGTGGAATGAAGTAGGAGGGGTTTGGGTGGCCCGCATCCGCATGTGTCAATCCTAGACTATGACACATGCAGACGACGACGGTCCCAAAGTCACATTGGATTCACCTTCATCGCTCCCGAGGGGGTGTCAGACTAGAAGGTGGAGTTTGTGTGGCCCGCACGTGTCAACCTCTGGCTGTAACACATGCACACCACGGCAAACAATGGCCGCAAAGTCACATTGGCGGTGCAAAATTTGCCGGAAACACCAACTTCCCTACCCACTTATTGAGATTCCTTTGGCATGGATTCGTGTCAATTCCCTTTGATGTCATAGTTTGAAAGTATTTTCCCGACACAGAGATAATTGTAAATCCATACAACAATTTACAATCAAATAGCTTTTAATTTATCTATAAAAAAAAAAAAAAAAAAAAACTTTTAATTTTGTTGCACGAGTTCAAAGCTTGAAATTATTGATCTGGTGGTCTAATTTCCTTTCTTAGGCTTCAAAAATATGACTAAATTACTTTTTCCAATGATGCATGTGGTTTCAATGCGAGATTATAGGTTAAATAATGGAATATTCAAACAGATCCAAGATTCAAAAAAAAAAAAAAAGAATACTAATTATTTGAAATAAAAGTTTCAAGCACGTTCATTGACATGTTAAACTTTTGATTCGATGACTATGAATTCAATTGGGTGCAGGGATGTGTCTCGTTTACTTATATCACATAGATGAACAATGTAAATTGGGCAAACAACAAATGGTTCAACAAGAAACTCAGAACTCATTGATGCTTTCAAAATTCACTCCAATTCTAAATTCTATTCAAACTCACATAGACATTTTTTTCCTATTCAACATTAGCTTTCATGAGACAAGAGTTCAATATATCAAACATACACACAATCCACCACCAATTGGTTCCTATTCAGCATATGCACATTTCAATAGATCAAACATACGCACAATCTACCACCAATTCATTCTTCATTCCTATTCAGCATCGACCGAACACCAATTGGTTCATCAAACAATTAATTTTTTTCGTTAACATATGCACAATCCACCAATATATATATATATTACGAAAGCGGAAAAAAAAAAAAGAAATGTAGAACCCTAAACGGCAAACAGTTGAAATACCTTGATACGGACTTACTGAAGCTAACCGTTCTAGTCTCCTTGCTCGATTGGGGTCCGGAGAAGAATAAAAAAGCAGCTCACCGGCAGAAGCACTGTATAAGATTACTTCAGCCCATTCGCCGGAGGTCAACCCAATCGGTGAGAGGAGATAGTTCCGCTCCGTCGGTCTGCACCGGTATAGAGGAACCAGTTAGATGTTCTTTATATTTTGCAATGCGACGGAACAAAGGGGATAGGTGAGAACGAAATTGAACCGGGGAAAGAGGGAAGGGAAATTACAGCTTGTGATTATAGAAGGGCAATTTGGGAAATTCAGAGAATGGGATGAGTTGGCATTACTCGAGGGGCATTTTAGGTATATTGGGAAAATTATGTGAGGTGGCGGTGGGCCAGTGGCGTGAAGTGAATTTTAATTTCAGCAGAAAAGTACAGACAGGCCTAATGCAGATTTCTGATTTCCACTACAAATCTATAAACATTCAAAAGGTCAAAAAACCACTCTATGCATCCATACCCACCCGTAAATTGGCATCAATTCCGAATTGACACCTACGCCAACTGTACTTTGTGCCTATGAATTCTAATCCTGGGCTGAACCGTATCCTCCCTAAAAATTTAAGGATAAGTGGAATGCAATCCACCTCAGAAATTTGAAATTACAGCCCATTCCTAGTCAACTAGTAGATCCTCCCCCCCCCCCTTATAAACCGCATCCTGCCCGTGAATTTGGTATCAATCCACGAGCAGGATCCAGTCCACCCCTAGAAATCTTAATTCCACCCTAGGGGTGGACTGAACTATAAAAACCCCAAAATTTTATGCATTGGCCTATAGGTAAATCCCCTAAAAATTAACCCTTTTGACTACGTTTTAGATTAGTTTTGCACTGACCAATTTACCTTCTTACCAAACAGGCTTTTAGCTGTAATGGATGCAAACATGAATTCCAATCCAATAAAGCATATGTTTTTTTTTATCAAAAACCCATTTGAATGTAAATTTACTTCTTTTTTATTGAATTACTTTTACATCTTATTGTCAATGTAAATATGCATCGGTATGTCCTTTGTCAATGCATAAATATAATGTTGCCAAACACAGTCAAAAATGTACCAGAGTGCAAATTTACCCTGAACCAGGATTTACATTCCATTTGCATCATTTCCAAACGCAGCCTTTGGCACACATTGACTAATGCTATGGTTGACTTTTTACAAGAGTGAAATCGGTCGCTAAAGCAGTGGGCTACACACGCTATTATCATAGTCCATAAAGAAATTTCAGATGACTTACAGCAAGGAGTTTGCTCTTGTGAACTTCCAAGTTCCACCAAGCTAAAACTGGACAAACAAACATCGACTCGTATTGATACCTTGGCTATGGTTCGAGTGGTCCAACCATCCCAACCAATTCCACGACTAGAAAAAAAAGGTGAAAAATATATTATGACTTTCACTTGAAAATTAAACATTCCAGGTGATTTATTACACCCAGTTCATAACAAGACGATCTTAAAGCATTTATCATATGGGTATTTGAGGACCTTGACCAAATCATTTCTGAAAACTGGGTATATTAAGAATCATTGAGTTACGCCTGATCAACTCTAACATTGGTGGTAACTGCTTTGAGAAACTGGACCACCCCCCGTTGTAGGATATTTTAGGGAGCATGGGAAGAAAAGGAAATCCCACCTATTGTGAAATCTTGGGGCGTACTACCATTATTCCAGGGGCTTATTCCAATCATTATTCCCATTCTCCTCCAGGGCCCAATCTTTTTTCTTCCTATCMCGAATCATGTGTCTTTCTCGTAAAATTCTGAGGCGGGTGATAGGTCTGAATGAGCAATAGGGGATCGCTCTGAGGAGGAATACTCGCTCGCTAAGAATGGAATCTTCCTTGAATCCCATAACAACTGATCTACATTCGCATCTCGTTATAACGATCCTGATTACTATATAGATAGGTAACCGTGTTTTCGACAAATATGTACAAGGGTGACAGGTCTGGGGGTACACGAGCAGGGGCTCCGTGCGCGCCCGTRGGTGAATGAAGAAACTCTTCCATGAGTTGGGCGCTTTAACCATTCAGCCATGGATGTACAGCTCAGGAATGCTAATGTGAAACCCAGACTAGCGGAGCACTATATATACGAAATTTTTGAAAACCCTATTAAAATATAAGCAGTGATTTCAAATCCAGAGGTTAATCGTACTCTGGCAACTTTACGTAAGGCAGAGTTTGGTTTTTTGGGGGTGATAGTGGAAAAGTTGACAGATAAGTCACCCTTACTGTCACTCTACAGAACCGTACATGAGATTTTCACCTCATACGGCTCCTCGTTCAATTCTTTCGAAGTCATNAGATTTTCACCTCATACGGCTCCTCGTTCAATTCTTTCGAAGTCATTGGATCCTTTTCCTCGTTCGAGAATCTCCTCCCTTCTTCCACTCCGTCCCGAAGAGTAACTAGGACCAATTCAGTCRCGTTTTCATGTTCCAATTGAACACTCATCTTATGGTCATGCCTTTTCCTCTTTATGTTCTACATTTTAATTAAATTAATTTTTATTCCTGTTCATATGGAAGCTTTACTTTATAGTTACTATGTGAGAAATAGAGTGTTTCGAAGATGGATAAAATGGAGGCTTTGTTAAATGGATGCGACTAAGACAAGGCGGAACTTAGTATATGTTGGCGACCCACCTGATGGTATCATTCCTATGATGCATTTCATATATATATATATATATATATATATATATAGTTGCTTGAATTATACCTGTAACCCAGTCCTCTTTACATGACAATTGATAAACATTTGATTCATTCAGTTTTTAAGCAATTCCAGCATCATAGGCCTTGTCCATCATGAAGCCCTTAAAACATAAAGATCTTACTTGCGGAGACGTGAAGAATTGCACAGTGCACCATCATGCATTAATACTACTCATTACAGAGGTCTCCAGGAAGCCTGTACATAGTCATTCGTGGCCCAAGAGATGTACTGTGTCATATATAGCTGATAAGTAATCTTTACTTGCTGCCAACACCTAGTAGCTTCATGTGGCTGAGCTAAAAAACTGAGCAAGAAAGAAAACAGAAAAGCGAAGAATGTATCATTCAATGCTTGCTGCGGTTGTCATGACAGGATAATCCTCGTCATAACCAACTACACATGAGATGTCACTATCAAAGCTAACCATATGAGCTGCTGTAGAACAACCTGAACAAGTACATCCACCAGGCACTATATCTTAATAGCATCTCTAGCTTGATTCTATTAGTTGATGCAAAGTGAATCTAAACCTGCATAAAAGGAGCCAAGACCAATCTCTATACATGAGCTGGGATCAATTCAAAAAATTAAAAGGCCTCTCTCTCCATCAGGCAACTAAGAAAAACACCATCAGAAGAAAGCCACCCCTCCCATTCCTATCCACATCTTAAAAGTACACTAACAAGCACATCTTTCTTCACTTCTGGTTTCTCAAGCAACAGTAGCAGGGTATGAAGGAGCAGCATCTACACCAGATAACTCAAAGGATGGCAGTAGCCATCCATTCCTCTTGGCATGTTCTACATAGAACCTGAACTTCTCCTCGGCATTTGGAATGTCAAGTGCCAGATCATCAAGCCCGTCCCTAATCCTGACAAAGCCCTTATTCATCTGGTTTATGGTGATCAATCCTTCCCCGAAGCACTCCTGCAACAGATCCAATATCCTGTCATTTTTCTTCTCCATAGCCATAACCAGTGCCTTCTTCACCACCTCATGGTTGAAGAATGGCATCCCAAGGTCCCGGATGCATTGGCAAGCTTCACTAACCACACCCCCACTTTCATACTCCTCCAGAAGCTTTGTTATCTTGTCCTTGGCATCTTCAACGGCCCAACCAGTGCCCCCTCCCCAGCATCTTAAGATCCTCTCACCTGCATGGCGAGCAGCAAGAAGTGAGCGAGCCATGTGAACAGTCTCACTCCCACTGCAATTAGGTGGCAGTTTGCTGCTAATCTCCTCCAAATTTAGAGGGACCAGGACATCATCGATAACTGCCCTGGCTAAGAAAAGTGCAAGCTCATTTGAGGCATCCAATATGTCAAGTGCAGTATCTTCCGCAGACTCCAGAAGCATGACAAACCCATTAACTATGTCATCAGTTGAGAAGACCTCAGTATGAAGTGCTGAAAGTAGAACAGATGCCATTTCTTTCTCCCTGTTTTTCCTGTCCATGGCAAGAGTGATCAGCTTCTTAAGGAAAATTGGGTTGAACTCCGGAGCTGCTAGATCTTCAAGGCTTCTGATGAGTTCAGGAATGTCATCTGAGAGAAAATATTCATGAATGATTGCCACAGCCTCTTCCTTGAAGCTTCTCACTTTTTTGTCTTCTTCTCCAAACTCACCATCCTCACCTGTTGGTTTGAGAAACAAAGGGTCCAGCCATCCCTCGGAGATTGCCTTCGGGACCAGCGATTGGAACAAGGTTTTTGCAGATGGTATGTCTAGTGAAAGGTCATCAAGACTCTCTGCAAGCCGACCAAATCCCTTAGCCATCTGACTAGAACTTATTAGGCCCTCTTCTGCTGCTTCTTTTAACAGTTTCAATATATGTGCCTCTGATGTTTGGATTTCCATCGCAAGGATTAGAGCTCTTTTAACAACTTCATGATGGAAGAAACTTACCCCCAACTCCCTTATACACCTGCAGGCCTCAGCAGTATCACCACTCTCAACATATTCCCTCAATAAATCTGCTATCTTTCTCTTGACCTCCTCAACTGTAATGTGGGTGCTGCCACCCCATCGTCGTTCCACAAGTTCGGCATGGTGAGGAGCTGAAAGATAGCTCTTCTCAGCAGTTTGTATGACCTGAAGTCCTTTTGAGGATTCTGAGAGAGTTTTCGTTGCTTTTGTCAGGAAAGCTGGAGGGAGGATATCATCAACCACCGCACGTGCAATGAACAGTGCTAGAATATCAACTGCATCAAGTATGTCAAGTGCCAGGTCATCAGCAGATTCAAGAAGCATCATGAATCCCCAACTGATCTGAGCTGAGCTGATCACATCAGCATAGAGAGCTGAGAGTAGAACTGAAGCCATTTCCTTCTCCTTATCGTGCCTGTCCATGGCCATGGAGACAAGTTTCTTGACAAAGTAGTGATGATACTCAGTTGATCCTAGTTCTCTGAGGTCAGATGCTGCCAACTCCACATCACCTGTGCTGAAGTATTCCTCTATCATGGAAACCACAGCTTTCTTATATTCATCAAAGGGATCAGATATCGTAGAACCCACAAGCTGATATGGTTCCTGGATGAAATCAAGAAAAGGAGAAGATAAATATAATTGCATGAAATTCTATTCCATTAAAGTAAAGATGTAGCTAGTGGAACCACAAGCGATAGTTGCATCCCCAGCCAACGGAAATAGAAAAATCAACTTTCAAATGTATATAATAAGGTAGACAAGCTGAAACCATGTGAGAACAATAACTACCTCGCCACTGTCATAGTTTGGATCATTCCGATCAACACATGAGCCACCATCAGTGTCAAGCAATTTACCCCATGTGCCTTTGCCACCAGCACCATCTGTTACCATTGTTTTAGAGGGAAAACAGCTAATCAATATAGACAAATAAGCAATTGCTTCGTTAAGCAAACAAGCAAAAGAAGCAGAAATGCATGTGTGCTGCTTTAGTAAGAACAAATATCAGAAGCAGCCAATAATCCAAATAATACTGGTTTCTATATGTAGTCATGTAGTCATATGCACTGAATTTTGTACAGAAAAGGTCATTGTCATCTATCAGTAATAGATAGAAAGAGGAGTGTGTGGAGGCCAAGGGTCTCTCACCACAGGCCTCACACAGAGTCTCCCCTACTCCCCACACATGTGAAATATTAAAAACCCTCTTATGTCTTAATTTTCTCTATTAGAATTTAGAATCTATCATTACTCCTCTCTAAAAAAATTATTGTTAATTCTCTCCCCCTCTCTCTTCAATAGTTGATGTTTGTAACATCACCCCTCCAGCCCCCCCCCAAAATCTCTTATTTCCTATTAAATATCTTTGAAACTCTTTTGACCCTCTCTAATAATACATGGATATAAATTAGATGGATTGGATGGGGTTAAGGGCCAACCCTAGACCAAACTTGAACATGGACCTTAGCCTGGAACCAAACTGATGTCAAAACCTAAATTTTCCAACCCAAACCCACCCAAATTTCTATTCAACCCCATGCAATTGCATGGGTTTTCTCACTAGTATAGAAAGATTCCCAGCAAGTTCCCCTTTTTTTGTTGCTTACTAAATCTCCAAAACCTCCAACTTGGGCACTTATAGTGAATTTCTAATAGCACATAAAACAATAAAAACATACCAGAGTATCTTCCACTTAAAAGTGGCTCATTAATTGTAACTCCATACCAACAATCTATCTAGCTTCATATGCAATGTGTGCCACATTCACACTCGTTTTTTTTTTATCAATTGCCACATTCACACTCTTACAGTTCAGTGCAGAAGTTTTTCCGTATACTAGTTTATAATAATGTCAAAGCACAACAAAGTATGTGGTAGATCCTTCACAACTAAACTTACAAAGGTAATTATTTACCAAAAAAAATTACAAAGGTACTTAATGGAACACTTGAAAATGAGTTACAAACTCTGACTATAATTTTCCTTTATTTGGTTTCTTCTCAATTGATTTCAGGGCCCATAATTTAACAATGAATATGGCATCATACAGAACAGGAATGGCAGAGCAAGACTCATGTAGCTGACCCCATATAGTTGGGACAAGTCTTAAATGATGGTTTGGTTGCTCCACAAAAAAAAAGGAAATAAGTCCACATTCTATATGGGTTCCACGCTTCCAGTCCCTATGTTACTTCAGCAAGAGAGAGAGAGAGAGAGATTTTGACAATGTGGTTTTGTTTTTAATAATCTATTGCATGCATAGTTGTTGAGGCACCTAAGCAATTCTAGGAGACAGTGGGGTGCCTAGCAATAAGAATTTCATAAAATAAAAACAGTTTTTCCTCGTTGTCTAGTTTTATACACAATTCAGCATGCATATTAATTGGAAAAATAACAACTTTCTTTATTAATAACATTAAATTTCTCTCAAAACATGGCAATTCAACGTATCAACAACAATATTATTTCAATTACTCTCATTTCAATACTTTCAAAAATGATGCTGATATAACAAGTATTTAATAAAGCAATTTCGTATCAAATTAGCAACTAAAGAAGGTTATAATTTTATATGATAAAATTTAAGACAGAGTAAGTAAAAGAGAAAAAAACAAGGATGGAGATGTTTTATTTAATGTAAGAGAGAATGAGAGTAGAAAAACAAAAAGAAAGAAGAAAGAAACTTCTTTATATTTCTATTATTTTTTTCTTATTTGCTTCTCAAAACCTTTGGATCCATTATATTTCTAAAGTAGAACTTTAAAACATATTATTTATATATATATATATATATATTATGTATGTATGTATTGTAGCAGAGGTTTTTTGGGGGTTTTAATTCTTTTTGTATTTGGGCACTCTCTTAGGGAAATTATGTAATTTTCCTGGTTAGTATAAAGTTTTCTTTGGGTGTGAATAGAAACTCACCCAACTCTTTCAAAACATCTTCTCTTTTCTTCTTTCTCTTTTTGTTACTTCACAATTTGATAGCAAAGCAGGAAGTGATCTTGGAAGAGCTTCCTCTGCTGACCCTCGAACCCAGGAAGATCTGCTGACATCAGACCACTGGTGGATGATGTCAGCAATCCGTACAAGTGCTGGCGATAACCCTTGAAACTTGTTCTGTTTTTGTACCCTGTTTTTAGGGAGTTTTTGGTATGATTCTCATCGCCATTTGATGCCTCCTTCATTTTTCCCGATTTTTCAATTAAAAATTTACAAAAAAAAATACAGGTTCGATGTATTCATTTTTTCCTCCACATTTGAGAGTGTTTATTGCTTGGGAACTGTTTCTCCCAGGTCATTTTTCTTCTCTGGAGTTATGGGAAGTCATTTCATATTTTTCTGAACCTTGGTTTTTTTTTTGGGAGATATTTTTCTCCACGTATATTGCCGCCAACTTCAGTTTTGACCTCCTATTAGCTTCCAACCACGTGTTGACTTGTGTTAGTGGGTTTGGTGTGTGCTGGTTGGATATTGGAGTGTTGTAAGGTTGTTTTGTAGCTTGACCAAGATAGATGGAATCATCTAAGCAACTACAAAGGGTTTCTAGAGTGCTCATGGGTAATGCAGATACTTCTAGTGGTATGATAACCACTATAAAACTTGATGGAATCAACTTCCTAAAGTGGTCCAATTTTCCAAACTTACCATTAGAGGAAGAGGTAAGCTTGGGTTGATTACAGGCAAGGAAGTGAAACAAAATCTGATGATCCCAAGTTTGCCAAGTGGGAACAAGATAATTCTCTTGTTATGTCATGGCTGGTCTGTTCGATGCAGCCACATATTACCCATAACTATATGTTCTCCCCACGCCAAGGACATTTGGGATCGTGTTACTGCTACATATTCCCAAACAAGGAACACTGCTCAGGTCTACCAACTTCAAAGGGAAACTTGCAATATGTGTTAGGGAGAGGACAATGGCTATGTACTTCTCTTCCTTGTAATCTCTCTGGGAAGAAATAGATCATCTAGAGGCCTTGGAATGGAAGAATCTTGAGAATGGAGAACAATACAAAAAATATATTGAGAAGAATAGAGTGTTTGACTTCTTGGCAGGTTTGAATGTAGAGTATGATTTTACCCAGCAAAATATCTTGAGTGGATATATTATTTCTCTTGCCACGACATACTCCTTGGTGCAAGAAGAGGAGAGTAGGAGGGCTGCCATGATGCAAACTATAATAAGTGAACATTGTGCTTACGTGTTCGCTAAACCCAAGAAAAGTGTTAACAGACAGGGTGTAAATGAGAAGACTAATGAAGTGGTGTGTGAATATTGCAAAAAACCAAAACACACTAAGGACCAACATTGGAAGTCAAATCCCCATTTGAAGCTTGAGAACTTTAAAACATCTAAGAAAGGAAATGCCCATCTTGCTATTGGGAGAGTTGATTGTTTGCCTCCTTTTGTTAAAGCTGCTTCACATGATTCTTTAAATGTGATAAAGAAGCTTAGGAACCTTCTAGCTCAACTTGGGAAGACTAGGTCCTCTACCTCCATGGGCTCTAGTAATCCTTCCAGTGCTTTTGCTAAAACAGGTATTGCTCTTGTTTGTCAGTCCTCATTTTCTTGCTCCTAGATTGTGGACTCTGGGGCTAGTGCTCACATGACTGGTATGCCTTCCCACCTTACCTCTTATAAGTTGGCTCGAGGGAAAGATAATATCACTATAGTTGATGGATCTCAACTCCAATTTCTAGTATGGGTGAAGTTAAGCTCACTCATAATCTTTCCATGAGCTTTGTCCTTCATGTTCCACAACTGCACAAAAACCTTTTTATTTGTTAGTTCCCTTACCAAATCCCATAACTGTTCAACGACCTTTTTTCCCTCACGTTGTGTTTTTCAGGACCTGAGCACGTGGAGGATGATTGGAACTAGACATGAAGTTGATGGAGTTTATCTTTCTGATCATGTTCCTAAGCAAGGATTACTGTGCCAGATTGAGTCATGCCAAAATGGGATTCTATGTCTGCAACCGTGGCATTGTCGTTTTGGTCATGTGTCTTTTAAGTCTATTAAGTTTTTGTTTCCAAACTTGTGTCAATCTATGTTCATAGTTTTCAAGGCACCAAGGCGAGGCTAGGCAACAAGGGGGGCACATTGTCACCTAGGTGATGGATTTTTTTAAGTAAAAACCACATATCCTAAGGTAGTTCCCTAGGTTCCATAACCATCTTTCCTTGATAACTATCTATAATTTTCATAAGAAAATTATAAACTTCATGTTTAAGTCTAGAAAATCAACATATTTATGAAAAGAAAAAGAAGAAAGAAAGAAAATTAAAAAAACATAAGGGCCGAACCCCTATTTTTTGTTATAGGAAAAGAAGAAAAGAAAAGGTGGAAGAAGAAATATGTTGATTAGACAAAATTTTAAGTTCTTCCCTTACTTACTGGTTCAGACTTTGAAGTCTTTGAGGGTTCAATACAGCAGTTAGCAATGTTTGTGTTGATTAAACCCTAACAAATAAGAAAATAATAAAAAGAAAATAAACACAAAAAATGAATATTTTTGTTATGTCTATTTTATAATTACAATCACAAAAAATAACAATATAGAAGTATTTTATAAGACAGCATACAAAACTGCTTGGCGATTGGGCTACGCAAACCTCCAAGGGCACCTTGTCGCCTAGACATCACCTAGGTGTCACCTTGACAACTATGTCTGTGTCCAATTCAAATCTACAATGTGAAGTCAGTCATCTCTCAAAGCAATGTAGAACTACATATTCTGCAAGAAATAGAAAAAAATGATGTTGTTTTTAACTTGTTACATACTGATGTTTGGGGTCTATATTCTATCCCTTGCATTGGTGGCTATAAATACTTGCTTATTGATGATTACTGAAGATACATTTGGTTATATTTGA